CCCCCCCCCTTCATTCATGTGCTGCCAGTCCGCTGGCTTCCGCGGGCCCTTCCATTTGTCAGATGGTTCCGATGGCCAGATATACGACGGACACAAAACACTCTGTACTCAGCAGCCGAAAGGCTTGAAACAGCCTTATATTGTGTGTGTCTGTGTGTGTGCGCTTGTACCCCTGTGTATCAGGGTGTCGGGTTCTTTGTGTTTCCCTCTTTGTATTTGGCTCGGTGTCCTTGTTGTCTGCATGTTCACTCGCACCCACTTCACGCAGCAGCAACAACAGCCCCCGAGATTTTCCGTCGGGCAGCAGCGCAGACGGCTATAACAGCGCACCGTCCTGCTGGGGGCTTTTTAGGGCGGCTCAAGCTCATGGGTCCTGCAGGGCCGCCCTGTCAGGAAGGCTACTCGACTGGAAATACAATACATGACACGCATACACTGGAAACGAGCACACACACACACACACACACACACACACACACACACACACACACACAGAGACACACGTGCACAAATCTGCACACAACTCGTGAACATACAGGCTGGATAAGCTGCCTCCTCTGTTCGGGGAGCCGCTCCTTAAAGGGCTTATTCTCCCAAACAACAGGGGAAGGACCGGCTCTGCAGAATCCATCGCCTCAGATGGAAACGCTCAATAGTCGCCCCTTTTAGTTCTCCACTCCTTTGTCGAGAAAAAAAAGGCCAAAATCCAGACGAAAATAAAACCCTGATGACCGGTAATTTGTGCCAGGCTATCGTTTGATCTGGAGTCGCACACTTGTGTACGATAATAATTTCCTTCTTATTGAGATCTAATGGTTGACATCTAAATTTACTTTCTCGCTCACAAAACAGGCGAAGCTCTGCCAATAAGCTTCCACCGTATTAAAATGATAAACTTTCTTTTCATCCCGTCGTTGGCCGTTAGGCAGCACACACTTTCAAACTATCACAGCTGAGATCTAGTACAAGATCCTGTTGTTTTTAGGCTCACAAGGGCCCTCCGGAGGTCAGACATCCAACATTGAACAGGCTACTAGTCCGCAGTACGTCACCTCGCTCATAGATTTAAAGGAGGCCGAGCCGCTCGAACGGGCTGATTGCCGACATCTCAACCCAAGCCTGACATGCCACGGATGTGTGTAATCTACCCTTTGTGATTCACAAGGGCGCACGCTGATTCCAGGTCTGATCATCTTAATTGAGCTATTTCACAATGTGCGTGCGTGCTTCGCTGTGCGTGCTTCGCTGTGCGTGCGTGCGTGCGTGCGTGCGTGCGTGCGTGCGTGCGTGCGTGCGTGCGTGCGTGCGTGCGTGCGTGCGTGCTTCGCTGTGCTTCGCTGTGGCAGATGCACGGGACAGATGCCCGTCTGCTCTGCTGCATCTGTAGCCTGGCTTAGCCTAGCCCCTCCTCACTCACTCACACACACACACACACACACACACACACACACACACACACACACACACACACACACACACACACACACACACACACACACACGCGCGCGCGCAAACACACTTGCCCGACCCCCTGTAGTGCCGGCTGTTGAATATTTGTCTCTTCTTGTAAATCTGTCTGGCACATTTTTGTCTCACTTGTCATGTATTTCAAATTTCTCTTCTTTTTCTCGCGTTTGTTGAACGCCCTTTAGCACATTTAACAAAAATGGAACCCGCCGCTTGGTGCTTGTTTACTCGTGTCCTGTGTTGACTCTGCTCCTCTTCCCTTTTAACCTACATGTCTCATATTCGGCCTAAATAACTGTGCATGTGTCTTGTTAGTGAGGTCACTGTAACAAGTAAATTGGATTGCAGTGGCTGTTTTCTTTTTCCCTAGATGCATTGCTTCTTTGTAATTGCAGTTTGTATGCATGTTGGTATTCTTTTTATGCAAATATCTGAGTTGTTGTCATGTTGTGTGTCTGCACGCTACTCTTGCATAGGAAGTTGAGCGCTGGTCACCGTCGCTCTCACTTCTTCTTCCCATCTTCGGCTCTCAGAAAGAGACCAAATCTCCATCTTGCTCTCTTACTGTCCCTTCGTCTCATAATATGTCGTCGTTGTTCTCAATTACTTTTACTTGCTAGTTACTTAAATACAGCTGTATTTAAGTATATGACGTATACTGCACACACACTATACGTCATATACGTATACATTTCCCCACCTCTCAAAAAAAATGTTCCCATCTGTATGACATTGTCATATTTATAAATATTTCGTGTCTTTTATTCACAATATTCAAAGCCAAGATGCCGTAATTTGTACGGTTGCAACGTTACATCGGATGGAAATATGTTTCGAGCATCGTTTTCTACACATTTTGACATATTTGGCGTCTTTGTAAACCTCGGCTTCCCCACTAGAAGAGAGTCTAAACGTCGTGAGCGGAAGGCTCGTGAGCTTATAGCAAAGCATTTCCGTCTTGACCCGGGGAACGGGTCTTTCCTCCCCCAGCCGCAGTGGTCTGGAACGGCTTAGCGAGCAGCAAAACAGTGTTAACCACAAGTCAGGGCCGTCGCACGACACCAGCACCACTGGTGTGAGATCCTGGTGTCTTACAGCTGTGCAGCAACGTATGAGGGGATGTTGGTTAAAGCGCCGTGAGGTGTGTGTGGCTGATTCAAGGCAAGGATTGGATCACGCATGTTGGCCTTTTGAATACTTGCTTTCACAGTGCATACCAGCAGGACGTGGGAGTAAATGGGATGGATGGTTTGCGTGTAGAGCTGATTTTTGTTATTGATGAATCTGTTGCTTATTGTCTGGATTTATTTTCTCGGTCTGTAAAATGTTGTCTTGGCGAAATATATCCAATTTACTGTCACATCGGTCAAATGTAAAAAAACATCAAATCCTCAAATTTGGGAATCTGGAACATGGTAAAACGTTTTTCTGCTGCTTGAGAAACAACCGTGTCAGGGTGGTTAAGCTGCATACCACGCTACCACAGTGTGTGTGTTGTTTTATCTGTGATGTCACAGGCAACCTTCGAGGTGTCCGGTGACATGTGGCCCCCGCGGGGGGCCCCCGACATCAACCGGTGTTCGGGCTGTGTGTTCTGCATACAGTCGATCGTCCCCGGAGTTCACTGTGGTGAGTGTGTCGCTCGCTCCGGCCCCAGAGGAAGGTTTATGTCACTTAATGTAAACACGAGGAAAAGTCAGATACCTTTTTAATCAAACCTCGACTTTTGAAAGGGCTCCAGTTGTGTGAACCTTTTTTCTTCTTCTTTTTCTTCTCCTGGCTTGATTCAGAAAAATAGAATAATTTCCTCCATGTGGTGTGTAAACGGTATCAGACTGCATCGGATCAGTTAAAACGGCCTCGAGTGATTGGAATTCTAGGATTGTACCTCCATCATTTTCAGTTGCTGGCAATCCGCGATTTAGAAAATACTGAAATAACAGAGCAAAAACAAACCAAACACATTGTGCTGCCGCGAGACTCAAACTGCAGCTCCGACACCGAAAAATAATTGCCTCATCACACGGCGAGGTGAGAAATAGAAACGCTTCCCCGTCCATTATGGAAAGGATAAAACCAAAATCCCTCTCGGCCTTCCTCCTCCTCTGCACCCCCCCCCCCCCCCCCCCCCCCCCCCCCCCCCCCCCC